CAAATTCAAATGACTCTCTCTGGTTAAAGGGAAAAAAAGCCCTCTCTTCTTTCAGCATGCTTTGATTTCTGCTCTGATGTCTGGCTGTTGCTCTTGTTTGTACAACCCCACACTGTGAGTTATAATGCTGGTGTATGCAGGTTATCTGACGGTGAGATTCATCTTTGAACTTCTAAACTTTGGAGAGCGGAGTGGTAGCTACAGACGCGTTTTGATCATAATTCTTAGAGAGGCAGATGATGAAGGCTATTTTATTTTTATTTGTGCACTCTTGAATTTCACACGTGACGTCACTGTAAATAACACCTGTGAGCCTTCACTCAATGTGGGAGATTTTATTGTGGTTCCTTACACAGTCACCTGTTCCCTCATTGGTTAGATTTTTTTAGTCTTATTTCGATCTAAGACATCTGATGACAAAGAGTAAATGAGCGAAGCAGAACGTAGAACATTCAGATTGCCTTAGATGTTCCTGAAATCCTTCTCAGTTGGAAGCTTATCAGAACACCACTGCACTGAGACTATTGTATGGAAGAGGACAGAGCCCACAGTTTGGAATGGCCCATTAATTGCTGTAGCAATCGCAGTGATACAAATACTGGTGATTCACCTTCCTGTGTGGCAAAACCTCATTTTGTTATGAAAGACAGATGTGTGGTCTTCGCGTCACCAGCCTACCTTCCTGATGACTCTCCCCTTACGCTGTCCCTCCTTTTATGCTGTCCCTTTTGCTCACTCAGCTGGAATTCTCCCGTTCCCTCTTCCTGGCTAATGCCCACTCCTCCTGAAAGCCTTCTTCCCAGATGTGTGCCTCTCACTGTGCTGGCTGCCTTGGGTGCCTCGTTTCTGTTTTGCAGCCCCTTCTGCTCCCTGGCCTGACCCCTGCATACTTCACATGCTTCCCAGCCTGCGTCTGCCACCAGGTCACGGGTTCTCTGAATGCTGAAACTATGTCTTTTATCTCTGTGTTCCCAGGTTTGGCTCAAGTGAACATATGCATTTAAAGGAGTGTTTCTCGGGAAAGCTGGAAGAGTTTTCTCTGCAGATGATTCCCTGAGTCTGATCTAAAGAATACTCCCTCAGAACCAAGTGGGCTGATGAGGAAAAACGCAGATTTCCAGGCTTGACCCTTCTCGTTTCACTGGGTCTGGAGGTGGGGCCCTGAACCTGTGTTTTTAAAATTCAAACCCCTGGGAGGGCTCAGAAAATGATGCCCCAGAGTGAAGGTCTCCTCATGAGATAGTGTGTCTCTGCCTTTCTCTTGCCCTCCTGTCTCTTCCCCATCCCCGTCCCCCAAGGCCAGTTAAGTAGAATCTGTCTTCCCCACCATGGTCCCTAGAAACCAGTCCCCTTCTGCCCCAAAGCCAGCCACAAAACCTAAACACGTCACTCTAACCTGCTGCTGCCTTTCCTTGTCAGGGAGGACTATAAAGAAATTTCTGATCTACTTTATTTAATGTTAGCCCATAAGACCCTCATTCCAGAAAGGGTTCAGCCCCATCCCTAGGAGAAAGGGTTGCTGCTCAGAGAGGCTGAGAAGCACTGGGACAGACAGTGTCTCCCTAGTCAGGCTATTTGCATTAGATGAGGCCCTTCTGTCCAATCCCAGTTCTGCACAGCTGTCCACTCCTCATGGAACCTAAACAGAAAAATGGGGGAGTTTTTCTTGTGTCTTTGGGTCCTCATTCAGGATGCTCCCATGTCAAGTAAGGACTTTAATGAAAGTGACTAAAGATTAAATACATACGTTATACTTTTCTCTTGTTAACCTGTCCTTTGTGATAGGAGGTTTTCCTTGTCATAGGTGAGGAAAGATGTCACACTTGTCCGTGTCTATACCACCATGGAATTCTGTCAAACACTACTAGAATTTGAGGTCCACTGGCTTACACACTCTGGGCTTTGGAACAGATAATAGAGGCGGCAGGACCTTCCCAGATCCCCGTGGTTTCCAGCTCTAACTTCATCCTCTTCTTACCCCCTCATGCTCTCCTCCTTCCCTCTCCATTCTAAGCATGATAACCCAGATTATCTTCACCTAGAACGGTTCTTCAGTTCTTTTTTACCTAGCATTGATCTAAATTTGCTAAAACCACTAGCCACTTAAAGGCCACTTAAAGGCCAACTGTAATTTCCTTTCATTTGAAGTTTCTCTGGAAGATAACAAGATTTCAAAGCTTGAGCAATACCACTAATAGGAGCAACACAGAGGAGGAAAAGCCAACCAAGCCTCGTAAATCAGGACGTGAAGCAGGGGTGTGCAACCTGCAGCCCATGGGCCACCTGATGATGTGGTGAGGACTTTTCTGCTTGTCTGTGGTGTCAGATTTCATAAAACATATGCACAAAACTTTGGAACTATTTTCTGCTCATCAGCTGTCATGAGTGTTTGTGTATTTTCTCTCTGGTCTAAGACAACTGTTAATCTTCCAGTGTGTAACAGAAAAGAAAGAAGGCTTGACATTTCTGCAGAAGAATGAGAATTAGATGGATCTTCAATCTCATGTACCTTCTTGCTTACTTTGGAGTCATTTTTGAAATGTAAAATGCCAATAAGGAAAAACCTGTGAAAGAGGCAAGACTGTTGTACCAGTAACTCCATATTTCAACATGATCAAGACTACAGGTGCATATTCCCCTGTTAAGAGTTTCTTGCTGGAAATCAAAGCTTGTGTAGCTTACAGACTACCTCCCTGCTCCCTAAGCCATGGACATGCACAAGACCAAATGGAGTGAAAGATTCCACAATCATCCCGACAGGTGGATGGAAAAGTGATTATCTCTCAAAGAAGAACCACTGCTAGATTCAGACAGCACCAGAAGATGTTTCCATCAGTTATTAAGCAAGGATAGCAAGACAAGCTTTCAGGGAAATTCTAAGGACTGGGAAATATTTTTTAATAATAAAAAAATCTTTATAGGTCTTCAAACTATTCCCATTTGGTTCATTTCCTACTCATTGTAACTGAGATTATATATATGCATGTGTGGAGTGGTGTGAGCATGAGTTCACAAGCTAAGGGGCCTGGGTCTGGGTTTTGACTCTGTCACCAGGAGTGTATCCTTGGGTGAGCTACTGAGTAATACTGGGTCTCAGTTTCACCTGCAGAACCATACCCATCTTGTATGTGGTTGTGAGAATTTGAGACAATGTATGTGATGCACAAGTTCAACTGATCTGTAGATAGGATTGTATCCTAGCAAACAAAACAAACATTTCTATTATTTTAATTTTCTTTATTTACTTTTATTGAGACAAGTCTGGCTATGTCCCCTGGGCTAGAGTGCCATGGCCTCAGTGTAGCTCACAGCAACTTCAAACTTCTGGGTTCAAGCCGTCCTCCTGCCTCAGACTTATGAGTAGCTGGGACTACAGAGACCCAAGAGTAGCTTGGACTACAGGCACCCACCACCATGTCCAGTGTATATTTCTATTATTAGTAGAGATAGGATCTTCAACTTTGCTTAGGCTGGTTTCAAAATCCTGACCTCAAGTGATCCTCCTGCCTCAGCCTTCCAGAGTGCCAGGATTCCAGGTGTGATCCATAGCACCCAGCCACATTTCTATTACTTTAAACCAATAAGCACTTATTAAGCTTCCTCCAAACAGTCAGGCACTCTGCTTAGGTGCTGGGGGCAGAAGAATAAAACAATCTTTGCCCTGAACGAATATTCTGTTCTCTTAAAAACGCTTTAAGCATATTAAAAAGGCTTAACCTGAGTTTAAAGTTCTGATGTCTCAGGAAATCTTCATGAAGCAAATATTTTTCATTATATGACAGGTTGAATGGCAAAAAATGCCCTGTGTGAAGCTGGGGAGGATGATCAGCTTTGAGCATGCTATGAAATGGGAGAGTTATGTTTACGGTGAGAGCCCACGAGTTCATTATCTCTCTTTCTTACAGTGCCTTTCCTCTCTGGGTTTTGGGCAACACTTTTTTTCCCGGTGCTAATCCTCAACATTTGTCCCTTTCCCTTTAATGTAAAAATATCTTCCCATCACTGTAACCCACCCCAAAGGAGCCTGCATCTCTGAATGCTAATTGAGAAGCCCTACAGCCCTGTCTCTTCCAGTGGAGAGTTTCCAGGCTGGAAGGCAGCCCTCCCCTTATTCATGTATGCAAATGAGGCGTCCTCTCTGCGGCAGAGGCAGTGGCGTTGCGGGGCTGTAGGTGGCAGAGCTAGCTCGGGTAAAAGCCTGCCTTCCCGGCAGTGGGCCAGACCTTCTTGGCAATGGCAGAAGCCTGAGGCGTCGGGAAATGAAATCAGGAAGCAGGCTGGGGAGTGGGTTACAGCAGTCCCCAGGCACTCCTTTTTGGAGCCCCCATTCCTGCTCCCCCTGAGGTCTCAGACCCTCTGGAGAATCTGGTGAAGGCTCAGCAGCCTGCCTTTGGAATTTGGTATATTTCTGGAGGTTGATGAATCTCCTATAGCCCCATTCATTGACTAGAGGTAATGGCCTCTGTTTATCATCAGTGTTTTGGTTGTTTCATCTTGAACCAGGCTGCAGGATATATACCACCCCCACCCCCCGCCCCCACATACCCACTCAAATGCACGTTAATGGAATTAGAGCATAATAGCACAGAGTCCTCTGTGTTGAAGAAAAATTTTATCTGCCAAGTTGAACCTACCACTAAGTGCCCACTGGGCCAGTCCCTAT